GATATCTATTATAACAGTGTACTGCTTAACCCCCCAATGTTCATGATAAAGAAAAAACAAATCACTACAGAATTTTGTTGAATAAAAAACATGTTGACAAGTTCAAACAGATACAGTATTCAGTACTAGATGAATGATATCAGATGCAACAATAAAACTAGTTTTGTTTGTTTGTTTGTTTTTTGCAGTACGCAGGCCTCTCACTGTTGTGGCCTCTCCCATTGCGGAGCACACGCTCCGGACGCACAGGCTCAGCGGCCATGGCTCACGGGCCCAACCGCTCCGCGGCATGTGGGATCCTCCCAGACCAGGGCACGAATCCGTGTCCCCTGCATCGGCAGGCGGACTCTCAACCACTGTGTCACCAGGGAAGCCCAATAAAACTAGTTTATTTTGGTTTTTTAAGTGATAAAATGAAACAACAAACTGATACTTATAACAAATAAATCCCTAAGCATAGAATTTTTAAAAGCACCTTGATATTTACATTAATAGACATAACGCATGATAATTTTTTTAAAGTTGGAAAACATGTAGACGGTTATTTACTTCCATACAAAGTAATTTTAGCACACCATGAAATTTAACAGTAAAATACATTTCAAGTTTGATTTAATATAATTCCACATGGTGAATTACAGATTATTTTTTAAGTAAATTGAAATTTAAGAAATATACTAATTCTTTTTTTAAAAGTCTATTAAAATACAACTAAAGGGCTTCCCTGGTGGCGCAGTGGTTGAGAGTCCGCCTGCCGATGCAGGGGACACGGGTTCGTGCCCCGGTCCGGGAGGATCCCACATGCTGTGGAGCGGGTAGGCCCGTGAGCCATGGCCGCTGAGCCTGTGTGTCCGGAGCCTGTGTTCCACAATGGGAGAGGCCACGACAGTGAGAGGCCCGTGTACAGCAAAAAAAAAAACAAAACTAAAAATAGAACTACCATATGACCCAGCAATCCCATTACTGGGCATACACCCCGAGAAAACCATAATTCAAAAAGAGACATGTGGGCTTCCCTGGTGGTGCAGTGATTGAGAATCTGCCTGCCAATGCAGGGGACACGGGTTCGAGCCCTGGTCTGGGAAGATCCCACATGCCATGGAGCAACTACTGAGCCTGCGTGTCTGCAGCATGTGCTCCGCGACAGTGAGAGGCCCGCGCACCGCGATGAAGAGTGGCCCCCGCTCGCAGCAACTAGAGAAAGCCCTCGCACAGAAATGAAGACCCAACACAGCCAAAAATAAAATAAAATAAATAAATTTTAAAAACAAACAAAAAAGAGACATGTACCACACTGTTCACTGCAGCACTATGTACAACAGCCAGGATGTGGGACCAACCTAAATGCCCATCGACAGATGAATGGATATAGAAGATGTGGCACATATATACATTGTAATATTACTCTGCCATAAAAAGAAATGAAATTGAGTTATTTGTAGTGAGGTGGACGGACCTAGAATCTGTCATACAGAGTGAAGTAAGTCAGAAAGAGAAAAACAAATACCATATGCTAACACATATATACGGAATCTAAAAAAAAAAAAAAAAAATGGTACTGATGAACCTAGTGGCAGGGCAGGAATGAAGATGCAGACATAGAAAATGAACTTGAGGACACGGGGGAGTGGGGGCAGGAGGGCAAAGCTGGGGCAAAGTGAGAGTAGCATCGACATATATACACTACTGAATGTAAAATAGTTAGCCGGTGGGAAGCAGCAGCATAGCGCAGGGAGATCAGCTTGGTGCTTTGCAATGACCTACAGAGGTGGGATAGGGAGGGTGGGAATGAGGCTCAAGAGGGAGGGGATATGGGGATGTATGTATGCATATGGCTGATTCACTTTGTTGTACAACAGAAACTAACACAGTATTGTGAAGCAATTATACTCCAATAAAGATCTATTTAAAAAAGTCGATTAAAATACAATGTGGAATTAAGGGATAAAAAGTATAAGAAAACAAAAAAGCACTTTATGGCAAAATCAACTTAATAAAAGAGCACAAATTCAATTTTAATAAAAAGGTTAAACATGAATTTTTTCCTCAAAAAGTAAGCTTTTTTAAGTTGAAAATAATAAAATTCATTAATTGAAGAAAACTGAACTTCATGGGTTCTTGTTATGTAGCAATTTCATTTTTCAGAGTTTATAGAGTTGATCATATTATAAAATACTACCGAATAGCAGAAAATATTATTAAAATATGGTTACTGATAAGTAGGGAAAAAATTCCAACAGTTTCCATTTTTATGAAAAGCCCATGTTAAGACATCTCTTCCTATATCAGTAAGTTAATTTATAAAACTATAGTTCCACTTCATTAGAATTATTACTTTCACATCAAAAGAAAAAGACTAGACTAATACAACTATGAGGTATCAATGAACTTGATTGTCACAGACAACTCAAAGAGCATGCAGAGAAGCTTTCCATAAATTTTCACAGGGTAGGGGGACTAGGGGACACAGCTGAAAAGAGCACATTGCAGAAGAGACCTTGGTTTTATTGGACTCTGCCTTTCATTAGCAGTTTGGCTTGGACAGCCAAGTCAGTTAACTTTCCAAGTTTTAATGTCTTCCTCTTTCTCTGTCAAATGCATTTAGACTCTTCAGTTTTAAAACACCAAAATTCTACAATATTTGCAAAGTTAGGAAAAAGTAAAAGCAGCACTGGTTTTACTTTTTAAAAAACAATGGCAGAAAAATACAAAATGGTTTGTAACTTGCAATGTAATATTTCCAGAGCTGAATTCCTAAATCATTGCGGCATACCCAGCTAGGGTTATATCAGTGAAGATCTGGATACCGTATTCATAATGTCACTTTCTCCTCTCACATCATTCCTCCACCTGCTCCTCCCCATCCGGCTTCAATCTCTCTTTTGCTTGTTTTAATGCCAGCAAACGGTTGTAAGATTAATAATCAAATCATTTTAAAAGATGCATTTTCAATCAAGTACGTTATCTGCTTCACCACATTTCTCCCAACTGGATGAATTTTCATTAAGAGAATAAAAATATGAATAAAAAATTCAGAAACAGAAATGTACCAGGCCTATGTTTGATTTTGAATGCTTAAAAAACAAAACGTAAAGATGTATCCTAACCTATTCCCTTAGGCACGTGAATGCGTTACCCACCCTATGAAAAAACATTCTGCTGGTTCATTTTCCTGCTACACAAACAGCTTCGTCGTCAGGCCCTTCCTGGTCCATTCTTCATCGTGAGCTAGTAATTTTATATGGATCACCTTGGCAATGCTTGGACAGGTACTGTCCTTGTCTTCCAGGAGCTTACATTCTCCAAGTAAAACTCTGCTAAACACTAAAAAAACAGATACTATGACTTAGGGTACAAATCCCACATCTTCCCGCCCCTTGTTAGGCAGCTGCTAATTTTTCTTTTCCTTACATAAAATGAAGGGACCCATACCAAAGCCCACATTTGAATTTCAGGACAATGAAGTCGACAGGAAGCTACTCTCTCCTCCCCCGGGTTACTACAGAGCCACAGCCTGAGCGGGTGCTGTCGCCTGGCGGGTGCGTGACACCACGTCTTCCACGCCCTCCCACCGCGTCCGAAAGGCTCCTCGCCGGACCACCCCAAACCAAAACCAACCACACAAAAAGAAACGACATTGGGAGCTGCTCCGATCGGGAAAACCCCTTCTCCAGTAGCAGCGTAGCCATTCCCTCCGCTGCTCCGCCCGCACCCCTGCAAACTGCTGGGGCGGAGGGGGCTGCACAAAGCCAGGAGAGCCAGAGACGACTCAATACGTGGACACTTGCAGGGGAAGCCGGGACGCAGGGCCCGGGGACGCAGGGTTGGGGGGCGGTGGGGGGGAGGGGTGCCCCCGCCGAGTCCCAGGTCCGGGGCGGGGGCGGCACGCGAAGCCTCAGGGAAGCGCCCCTCGCCGCCGGCCCTCAACCCCTCCCGCCGCGGGCCGCGCCCGAGCCCCCGCTGCAAACCCGAAAAGAAGGATGTGGAAAGGCGGAGGCGACGGCATCGGAGCGCATCACTTACCCCTCACTGCTGAGAGGGACCGGACGGGGGGGCGGGGCGCACCGCGTCCCGTGAGTCTCTCGCAAGCGTCCTCCCCCACCCTGTCGTCGTCGCCGCCGCCGCGGTCGAGCTCTCGGCCCCTCGGCGCCGCTGGGCAATAACGTTATTCCGCACACGCTCCGCACATAGCGGTAACGGCAAGGAGCGGCCGCCCAGTGCGCAGGCGCCCGGGGAGAGGGCGAGGAGCCCAGCCCTACCCCTGGTCCGACCCAGTCCCAGCGAACTCCTACTGCGCAAGCGCCAAGCACAGACAATGAAAAGGGGTTGTGCGGGGTGGGGGGGGGTCTCACCCACAGGCCTCTCCAGCTGCCGACTACGCAGGCGTATACCAAAGACCAGCTTCAACAATGAAGAGGACCCGGGCTTTAGCTGGGACCGCAACCGGCAAGGACTACAGTTCCCAGCCGGCAGTGCGCCAACTCCAAGCTGTGGTCGGGTCGCTGGGCGTGCTAAGATTGGTAGTGTCAGCCGCCTTCACGATCTACGCTGTTTGGGAGATTCAGAGCTTCTTTTTCTTGAGAATTTATTTCGCCGTGTTGGCAGATGTTGCGGCTGAAGGGTGTTGAGCTTGTTATTTGCGTTCTTGAGAAGGCTCAAGGATCAACAGCATATAAGCGAATTTAGAAGAGTAAAGGCTTTCAGTGAGCCCTTTCTGTCAGTTAGGTGGTCCAGACAGCAGGATGGGTTGAAGGCAGGACTAAGCCTGGCTGGGCTACAGAAATGGGCGGAGCCTCCAAGGAGTCTCTTGGCAACCGGAACTTGCCGCCAAACCGCCAAAGCTTGAGCTTGGAGCGCGTTGCCCTCTGGGAATTGTAGTTTCATTGGGAGTGCTCTTAGGAGCTTCGACACTGTAAGCCCGGACACTGTGGACTACAACTTCCGACGTCCACCACGAGGGCCCGTGGGTGGGAAGAGGCTGGAGAGCTCAGTACGGGGTTCTGTGCTCCCCAGTGACAGCAGCAGCAGGAAGTCGGTGGGCCCTTTCCGGGGGCTGAGGCCTCTTGCACTCCGAGGGGAGAACACTGGACACTTCCCCACGCAACTCCCATCTCTGGGCCCCGAGTGTGTTCATGGCGAAGTCCCCGGAGAACTCTGCCCTGGAGGAGATTCTGGGGCAGTATCAACGGAGTCTCCGGGGTGAGTTGCTCGGAACCTCTGTGCCCTAGCCCCTTGATAGCAGGGCCTAATGGACGGGAGCTGACCAGGGGCGTTTCCTAACACCTTGGTTCGGCCCTAGCCAGAACGCAGAGGAAGAAGATGGATGTTGCTGTGGAAAGATTAAATAGTTGTGTTTGTTTTTACGTTTAAGCAACGTTGTTTCCCTTGATTCCCATAGTTACCTGAACCAACTGCCTGATCTTTTCTTGGGCATCTTTTTTTACCCGGCGCCGGCAGAAACTCTTGGACGGCTCAATGCCAGTTTTGCCCAGTTCCCATACTTCTCTTTATAATCCAGTAAATTCCTGATGCGCTCTATTTACACATTCAGATTATGGTGTAGTGGATTGAATGTGATTTATTGGACCAGGAAAAAAACCCACTAATAATTATTTTAATCACAACAGGTTCTATTTAGTGGTCTAGGCTATTTACATACATTAAATCACTTAAAACTTACAATCTTATGAATGTCCCTCTTCTAGACATGGGGAAATAGAGGTGCAAAGAGGTTAAGTTAGGCCAAAGCCAACATAGCTAGTTAGTGGCAGAGCCAGGTATTAAATTCAGTCAGACCTGTCTGCCTTAAAAGCCTATGTTTTTCTTTATTATATTACAATTAACTATTACTGAAACTTTTTTTAGTTAATTCAGATTTTATTACTATAGTACCCTATGAGTAGCTGAAGAAGTGATATACTTGTAGATAGCTCTATCATCTTGAACATCATATATAACATCTAGAAACCTCATTTCTCTTATTTTAAAGTAGAAGTTATGATATTGTCTGCAGGGTTCTTGTGAGGAGCAAATAAAATAATTCACATAAAGCAATGATTTTCAGGCTTTTTTTTTTAATCTTAGCCATAAATAAGAAATGTATTTTGTATGGGGCATAGACATATAGACTAAAAGAAAAGTTTCATTAAAGAATATTTATTCTACTAGATGTAATTCACCCTACTTTCTGTTCTTTTGCATTTTCTTAACCATTTAGGCCATGACCAACAGCTTAAAAAATATTTAAAGCATTTAAAGCACTGACTCATTTATTAATTTAGTGCCTACTATATGTTAGACATACCAAATGCTGGGGATACCGTAAGGAACTAGACAAAGTGACTGTCCTCAGGGAGCCTCTGGATTAATGCAGTGAAGCACGGTAAACAAAATAATTACAGATTACTATGATAAAAAAGAAGGGTAAAGATCAGTGTTTGGCACATACGCACTCATTAAATGTTAGCTGCTATTTATAATTGGTACTTGTAGCAAAGTGAAGATTTTTCAAGGAGATTAGAAAATTTATCTTCTACTGAGTCTAGATTTTGAAAGGGCTATTATTTATTGTTTGATTAGCAAATTTATCTTCTAGTGAGTCTAGACTTTGAAAGGGTTATTATTTATTGTTTCCATCTGTCAACAGTGTTACAAACTGTCAACATTCTCAGTATTCAAACTGCAAGAATAAAATAATTGGTCTGAATGAATACCTTCATCAGCCTCCTGAGGTTTCAAGAGCTGTTAGATACAGAAATAACCACTTGTAACTTTTCATTTGAAAGCAAGAAAAATACTGTGTGCAATAATACCAGTGGCATTTAATTTTTGAGGTCGGTAAAAAAATCTTGTTTTCCATTATGTTTCTCCTAGTGCTTCTCCTCCTTTAACCTTAATTTGAATCTTTACTTAAGTATTAGAGGCTATTTAATATTAGACTTGATGCAGTAGTTAATTTCAAACTAATGTTATAGTACTATATTTAATACCCACGATACTGCTTTCAGTAATTATAGTGAAGAGTTTTTATTCAAAGATAATTCATTTTAAAATAAATTTAAAATTTACTGTTATAACAATATAAAGTAGTGAAAACATTTATAATCAAGAGCAAATAAAGCAGAGAAAAAAGTTAGTTTGTTTTTTATTAATTTTTAGTGATAGTTTTAACAATGAATCAAGAAATGAAACTTGAAATTTTTCATGGGTTTTCAGGACTTATTTTATTGTTTATTAAGTAGCATTTTAATTTTCAGGTTTATTTAGTTTATATAATAGCTTATGGAAGGAAACAAAACAGAACTAATATTGAAATGAAGCACGATCAGAAGTTCTTCACTTCACACGTATAAATTACCACTCTTAGATAGGATAATTCCCTTTAACGTCAAAATGTGTGTTTCTGAATAAACACAGTATGGTGGCATTATTTTGTATATGAAATTTCATTATTTTAAGCGTTTTGTGCCTAATAACTTGAGAATTGTGGTACTATGCAGGCAGATAAAATGCAATTTAAAGTTCTTTTGTTTGGGTCTTGTCTATCCACCATTACCTCCCCAAAATGACTTGTCTAGTTCATGCTTAAAGAAGAGGTAATAGGTATTCTTGGTCTTTCCTCACAAGTTATTCCTCTGGTTTCTAAATAACTGTACATGTAATCATTACTAATTCTTTCAGTTGTATTTAGCAAGGAAGTGGGCATATTAAAATGCAAAATGCTTTTATAATTTTCCCATGATAGTCTCTCATTTTTTTTATAGCTTTTCCTCATTTCTTTACTTTAAACACAATTTTTGGTACTATTATAGTATATGAAGAATTTGAAGTTCTGATGTGAAAAGCAGAGTCAATGTTGCTTTCTTGCTTTTAAAACTTAAGAGGAATTCTTGCCTCTCCTTGAGTCTGATGACCCTAGAGCAGCCATGGAAATAGAGAGCCCATCTGCAGGCTCTACACTCACCTCTTATTCTTTCCCTGGCACCTTTCAGATGTAGTCACCCTCTAAGGATAACTCCTGCTTTGGATTGTCTATTCCCCCACTGTAAGAATTGGAGTGGTTGAAAGACTTCTTCAAAGTAAGAGATCTGGCAGAAAAACTAGAAAACTTCATTGCCCCACAGATCTGTAATATTATTCCTACATAGTAGATGATCTGAAAGTTTTCAATGTGGTATAAAGTGGGCATACCAGGTATCCTGGGAGTCACAGAGTTTAATCTAGAACCAGAAGTGACTTGGAAGGTCTTCTGGCAATATGGTTAGGTGTTCATTCACTCTTTCGGCATCTAAAATTCAAGACGCACAGAATTATATTGATAACTGGGCAGAATAGCAAGTACCCCTCCTCTAATTTAAATTCAACACATCATAGTGCAAGGTCATGAGGTATAAAATAAACTAATTTATAGCCAAGAAAGGGTCAGGAAAACCAGAATAACAGGAAATTCAGGCTGTTTTCAATTTTGTACACTTGAATGTAGGGATATGATGTTAGAAAGAAGGAGAGAACTTGTTAGAAATTCAGTGTCCCAGCCTTAATAACTGAATCACGTTTTGTCTATTTCTGCAGTGTTAGCTATGGATACAGTTTTATACCTGTATACATGACTCACCTATTCTTCAACTTCCTGGCCACCTTTGATTGGGTGGGCATAAAGAAATGGAACAAACTTATACCGAGACAGGAATACATCATTTACTTTCTATATACATTTTATATGCTGATTCCTCCTTTTTCTTTCAACATTTTGGTGTTTTAGGCTCTAGATTGAATTTGTGGAAGAGTATGATAGATTCAAAGAAGAGAATGTGGAACTAGGATCCAAGTTACAACTCTTACTGTTGCTTTTCTAATAACCATCTATGTTACCTTAGGCAAGTTAATAAACTGTTCTTGGATTCTTGTTTCCTCATCTGGAATATGAAAAGTTTGGACTAGGTGGAGAATTATTGCCTTTAGGAGTCAAGCAGATGACAAAATATGTGGTGGAGTCAGTGGAAGACACTAGGGAATGGTGAGGCTCTGGCCAAACTGGGCATTTTATGCTTTTTCTAAAAACATTCCAGGTACTTTCTTGCTCCCTCCCTCTTTTTTCACTTCACTTTCTCTTATTCTTTTCCCTTTGTCCTATACTGTGTGGGTCAAGCAAAACACATGAGAGCTTGGTTCGCCTTCAGGCACTACCCCTGGATCTGTAATGTCCCTTCTATCAACACTGGATTGGAACACATGAATGATAATGGTTCTGTTTCTTTCATATACAAATGAGAGTAAGGAACTAGGTTCATAGAAAGTGAGAGGTTGAATATGGGAAGAAAATATAAAATTGGGGGGAGTGATCCTTTTCTTTGTAAGTTGATCTAGTTTGATAAAACTGAAGATAAAATTGATGGGCCAATTGTACACAAGTAAAATATAGAGCATCTTTCCAATTCATACAAAGTGTTTTTTTCATTCCACAGAAGGACTCACATCTGTGGAAAGCAGTGTTAATCTTACTAGTCAATAATTTGGTCACTGAATTAACCAGAAGTGATATCATCAGGACCTTTGGCAGACTTAAGAAAACCTGTGTATAACTACTTAAGTAAAAGTTCCTCTTTTTCTCAGTTTTACTCATCAAACTTGTATTTCTTCTTCTTTTTGTTTTTTTCTTTTCTTAAATGTTTTCTAAAATTTTAAAATATTCTTTGCCATATATAGTATATATTTATGCACACACACATATTCTCTATAGCTAATGTTTGCTTATGTGTTTAACTATCAGCCTCATTGAGGCAACAACGTAATAAAGGCTCTGGAAGCATTTATTATAAAATGAGAAAATTATTTTGGTGTTTTAGCGCAGACTGAAACATATCTCTCTTTTCTAAAAATTAAAGAAATTGAACTATTGGCTATTAATAAATAAGGATTGGTAATGCAAATGAAGTTTGTAAACATTTGAGTTTACTTTTTTGCTGATAAAATTTAAATTACATATATTCCTTTTTTGTTTTATATACTTATATAGCTTTTAGTAGTTTTAACTTTTATGACCATTTCTTCTACCAGAATAGCAAAAAGCTAGTAGAATTCCATTTTTTCTTCCCTACTAATAATGAGGTAAAATAGGCAAAAGACAGGATTTAGCAGCCCCAAAAGGGTGTTTTACAAGTAAATAGTCATCCTGAAATAATGTAGAACCAAAACAGTGG